CGGTCTGCTTTGGTAAGGCACACTAAAAGATTCATATCACATTATCCTGTAAATCCACAAGGGAACTACAGTAAGACAAGTATGAGATAGCTTTCAAAATAGTGGTAAATAGCAACAAAGGGCAAATTTAATTTTAATAGCTCTTATTTCAAATTATATTGCCATGCATATTTTCTTGTTTCAGTGTACAGTTTACTTTTATGTCCAGTTCTATCTTGACCTCAAAAGCTTTCTTGACAGTAAGAGCAAGGTGGGGATTCAAGGATCACCTCCAAGTTCAGATGCATCCCAAGAAAGAGGAAGTCGGGCAAAAACGCAAGGATGCTTGCACAGATGGATGAAAAAGAAGCTCCTAGACAAACTCCAACACAAAAAGAAAAGACAGGTAGCTGGGGAAGAATATAGAGAAATTATCCAAGCAGCCAAGGATCAGGTTAGGAAAGCTGAAGCCCTTCTAGAATTAAATCTGGCCAGTGACATCAATGGCCAAAAGAAAAGCTTCTACAAGTATTCTACTGATAAAAGGAAGACTAGGGAAAATCTGGACCCTCTCTGGAAGGAAACAGGAGACCTGGGACATGAAGAATGCTGACATACTCCAGGACTTTTTTGCCTGAATCTTCACCAGCAAGTGCTCCAGCCACACTGCTGAAGTTGCAGAAGGCAAAGACAGGGGCTGGGAGAATGAAGTGCTACCTACTTCTAGGAGAAGATCAAGTTCAGGACCATCTAAGGAACCTGAAGGTACACAAGTCCATGGGACCTGGAGAGATGTATCTGCAGGTCCTGAGGGAGCTGGTGGATGAAATTGCAAATTTGATGTCCATCATATTTGAGAAGTCACAACAGTCTTAGTCTCAGGGTATAGAGATGCATGTTACTTTCAATGGCAGAGTGAAGAATACAATCAAATCCAAGCGAACAGTCCAGTCTGACTTAATCTGTTACTCCTTACTGCTGAAGCTAGGAAAAGTCTGGCCTGTCTCAGGTCCCTGTAGAGTTGACAGACATTAGGACAATACATTTTTTTAATTTTTTTTTTTTTAAGTAAACCATTATTTCATTTTGGCTTTACTTGGTAGGCACTGATCCTTTCTGAATACAGTTCCTATTCTTCTGTAACATCTGGGCAGCACAGTGAGATCATGTCTGCATTCAGTGTTCAGCTGCCAAGACTAACATATCTCGCATATCTTCAACTTATGCCTGGTTGGAGCCCCAGCCTGATCAACCAAATCTATTAGAACTCCTGAAGTTACAAATACAGTTTGCTGAATTTTCAAAAATGCTTTAATGTGCCCAGGGATGTTCATAATCTGAAAGGAGTGCTACTGAGAGATTAGGCCCTGATGACAAGGCTCTGGTCCTTCAGAAGGTGCTGCAAGACACAGCCAGCAGGAGGGCAGCTTTCAAGGTTGGATTCTTCAAATGACAGATCAAACAATATCACCAAGTTAATGATCTAAGGAAAGAGATCTGACAGGCCATTTAGAAATGTCAATAGAATGTCCAAGAAAACAAACATTATTTTGGTTGATTTCATTAATCTTGGCCCAAATTTTGCTAAGAGCCGGCACAATTCAGAATGGCAAGTACTTTATCCATATGATACTATAATAAGAAAATTGCCACTTAGGCTTAGAAAATGAGCCTTTTCCAGATTTTGACATTCATTTATCCAGAGGAAATCATTCAATACCTGAAATTACATGGGCTTTGTCTCAAAAAAGAAACCTTACTGAATCACAGAAATTGTCAATACAGTATTAACCTTTGAAGAAACACTTTATTTTCAAAAGGAGTCACGTTGCCTTTTGCAAGGATAATTCTTGTAGTGACCCATAAAAATATTTCAGGGAGTTCTTTCTTATTACAGTATCTAATGTCCTCTAAAGTGATCTCGCCTCTTCCTACAGTAACTTACTAGTTCAAAGCATAACCCTAAGCAAAACTTTAGTAATAAAACGTGCAAGTTGTCATCTACTTTTAACAAATCAAAACTTGATGAACTATTCCTATGCAGTAGCATAATAACAGATAACTTTTGAATAGTTCTAGCATCCAGATACTTGGCTTTGCTTACAATATATATTTCTAACTTTTAACTTGAAGTTATTTAAAGAAGAAACAATGTTTTGTCTAAGCAAGGTAATTCAAAAACAGAAAGTGAATATGATGTTTAGACCAGCAATACATGCTTAAGATTGCCCTGAATAAAGATCAGAATGGTCTATCTTGCCTATTCTTCTGCAGACTTGCCCAGTCTAATTCAAGCTATGCAAGCTACTTCTCTTGGGGCTATTTGTAACCTTCAGAAATCACTGTTGGGAATTACTTGTAGATACTTGTCCTTGGTTTTATTTTGCTCAGTGTTAGCCTATTATTCTGATTTAACTTTCTCCCTCTACTCCTTTAAGTTGTTGTAAAGTGTAACTACAGCTACATTGACAATATTCTTTCATACAGATACGAACAGGCAAAAAGTTATTATGGTCAGTGAGAACTTCTTGCACACTATAATAATCAGTATAAGTTGCCTCACAATATTAAAACAGATTACCTTATTCATCATGAATAAGCTACCTGATTAAGGAAGCCCAGTTTTTGTTCACAGACCATTTGCAAATTGGTCATGATTACTGTAGATCTATCAGTAAGTTCTTTAACAAATTAAAATACAGATTTCAACATGCTGGTCAGTCAGAATACTATGCAATATTGCCTATTTTTCATTTAAAGTTGAGATTGGTGGCCTATATGACGCATCATTTATGTGTCAGGAGAAACAACAGAGAATGCAGGCAGCAGTCAACAGAAAATATTCCCCATGTATAAATATGTAAATAAAGATTCCTCAGGTGAAAATACATAAAGTTTCTCATGAGTAAACCACTGGTGACATGAATACCCAGAGCTAGTGGGGACATACAACAAAATAGAAGACTGAACTTCATTAGAGTCTGTTGACAAAATGTTCTCAAGAACTTCTTTTTACTAATGCTGCAGAAATAAATACCTCTTTAAACTGTTCATACTCTTTATGATAACGTAAAACAATGCAAAGCTATTCCTTATGACTGTGAAGAAAAGAGTGAAAAGGGAAAAAGACACATTTTAATACATCAAAATATCAATATACAGATTAGAGTTTATGAGGAAAACATTTAAATCAAATGGATGCCGTTCATTAAACCACCAAAAAAAATACCACACCAAAAACCAACAACCCTAAACAAAAATCAAACCAGCAATAGTCTGAAATGAAGTTGATCATTTGGAAGGACACCATCAATGCAAAGAATAATTTCCAAGGGCAGTTATGCAACTTAGACACTGTCTCAATAAACTAGAGGGTTTACCCTATAATCAGAGCTATGATTATACAGCATGTATAACCCATGCTAGCTTTAAAATCAAGCTAGCACTGATATGGTAGTGAACTAACTGCTCGTAAGCTGTAGGCACCACAAAGGACTTGCTGTAGTTAATGAGGCAGCCAGTTTATATCCCTGTCCCGGGTTCAGCAGTAGCAGTCATTTTCTCTTTCTGTTCTTCCACGTGTGGGATACCAGCCTGCATTTTTATGAGTTTTATACCAAAAAAAAAATCTTTTTTTCCCTCTACTTTTTTTTACCCCTCTATAACAAAAGTCAAAACAAAGAGATTAAGCCCTTGCTCAGGAAATTGGGGATTACACAAAGTTTAATGCAAATGGGAAAATAATTTCAGTCCCTGTCAGTTTTAATAGCCTTCTGTACTTTTTGCAAGTGTAAACTTTTAATCTGCAATTATGGCCTAGCAAGTTCTTGTTCTACAGTCTTTTACAGTAAGATTAAGCATCATAAAGAAATGGGAAGCAAACACTGAGTAGCTATTCTGCTCTCACGTGAGTGATTCACATAGTCTGTTCCTTCCCCTTTAACTACAGATCTTCCTATGCAGATATATCTATCAACCAACACCAAAACCACACCAGCAACTTGATCTTAAGTGCTTGTAGGCAGCAGGTTAAACATGAGGCACTCCTTCACAGTTATGACTCAATTGTCAATACAAGAAACAGAATGAGCATTACAGTCCAGTTGTTCTACATGGTGTCCATATGTATTAAATACTGCTGCTGTAATCATTTTGACGACTGAAAAAGTGCACACAATGCATCAATCTGGAGATTTGAGCACCATAAGTTGCCATTGTTGCAAAATTTAATAATGATGCAAGACACACTTCTCAGAGACAGCAGGTACCAATTCAGCCACTCACTTGGCTCACTTACACCTACAAGATGAGCAAGTATCTGAAAGCCCCACCATACAAGTAGGTAGATAAGACATTTCTACCTTATTTCAAAAACAAGCTTGTAATATTAAGGGCAATATTCAGAAAAGCTAGAACTTGGGAATTCTTGAGTAACAGACAAAACACAGTATAATGGTTCATGAACTAATCTCAGGATCAGTCCACCTAAAATTTAGACCTTAAACTACTGATTGTTACTGAACTAAGCACAAGCCAAAAGTTATTAATGAATCAATTAAGACCTAAATGAGTGTTTAAAACACTTTAAAAATATATCTGAACAGAAGCTTAGGTCATTTTTCATCTCCTTACCGTACTCAAATGTGTTCAAAGCACTCAAACAGCGAGTCCTAAGAAACTGGAGAGTGTTCAAGAGACAAGGGATTCGCTGAAAGTGAAACGTTTACCATGAAAGTGCCTGAAGCTCTACTTATCTGTTCTGCCTTCCTGTGCTGCTTTCCTTAGGATTACTTATTCCCTTAGTTCTGTGATTCTACTTTTCTCTGAAACTCAACCTTCTGGATTTTACTCTGTCCACACCTTTTTCTCTGATCTTCCTTCCTCACCACAAATCCCCTCAGTTCTCCACCCAACTCCCCATATTTTCCTGTAAAAATAGGTCAGCCCTGCTGTCCATGTCCAGTAACGCTTGGCATACATTTTGTAATTACTGGCTACTCTCCACACATGCAGCCATTCACCACAGTTGGTCCTGTATCCTGAAGGAACTGAGAACCTGCCAAGACAGGAACAACTGACTTCTTGCTAACTACTGACTCATAAAACACCACAAGCTCCTCCATCCACCACCCTTTTAGCTTAAAATCATCACAGCTGAGTCTGAGAAACACTGATCTCACCTCCAGCTGTGGCCAATACCAGATGCTTCAGAGAAACAAAACACCCTATATAGGTAAATATGCTAGAATTTGCTGTAATCGGATAGAAATTAAGCTAAAAGCAAATTAAATGAATCTTCTGAAAACAAGATCTGAAAGTTCACCCCGGCTTGAAATATATTTTGACTATATCAGGTGTGGAAAGAACTCCTTCCTTGCGGAGAATATAAAGTAATCTTCACAACACTGTTATTCACAGACAGATCTGGGAAGATGAGGATTTTGTTTATTTGTTGAGTGATGATTTACAACAGTGAACCCGACCTCGATTTTAATTTTGAGCTACAAATTTATCTTCCCTATAGCATCAGTTGCTAAGTATGTTTCTATTATATTTGTTTTCTTTCCAAACTAAAAGTACACCTCTCACTTGTTTTAGATGTCTAAAGCAAGAGAATATAGTCTTCTCTCTTAAAGCTTATCTCCTCTTATTGTTTCCTTAACTTCTCATATTCTTATTTCTTCATAAAAATGAGGCTACTAGAATTAAACACAGTAGACCATCAATGAAAGCTAATGCATTACTGTCATTGGGTTGAGCAGACTATTTGATTTGTTTCAGGGTTTTTCTTGCTCATTGGCAGTCCTAGGGTAACAGTTGGACTTGGTGATCTTGAAGGTCTTCTCCAACCTGGTTAATTCTGTGATTTGCAAGCTCTGTACTACTCTTTTCACAAAGCCAGGTACATATCTTATTTTGGCCATTTGTATTTGTCATCAGAGAAACACAGGACAAACAATTGATAATGCTTTATCATGTTGAAAAATCAATATTTTAATCTAAATTTGTTATAGAATCATAAAACAGGGTTGGAGAGGACCTTAAGATCATCTAGCTCCAGTCCCCCTGCCATGGACAGGGACACCTCACACTAAACCATGTCACCCAAGACTTCATCAAGCCTGGCCTTGAACGCTGCCAGGGATGGAGCACTCACAACTTCCTTGGGCAACCCATTCCAGTGCCTCACCACCCTCACAGTAAAGAACTTCCTCCTTATATCCAATCTAAACTTCCCCTGTTGAAGTTTTAACCCATTACCCCTTGTCCTATCACTACAGTCCCTAATGAAGAGTCCATCCCCAGCATCCTTATAGGCCCCCTTCAGATACTGGAAGGCTGCTATGAAGTCTCCACGCAGCCTTCTGTCCTGGGAGGATTGAAACAATGTAACTCCCACGGTTTGAGATAAGAACAGTCCAGTAACTAAGGTATAACACAAAACCACTACTGCTACCACTAATAGTAATAATGATGATAATGGAAATAACAAGGGGAGAGAATACGATTGCTCACCACCTGCCAATCAATACCCAGCCCAACCAGAACAGCAATCTGGCCTTCTGGCTAACTCCTCCCCATTTATATACTAGGCATGAAGTGCTGTGGTATGGAATACATCTGAGGTTAGTATGGGTCAGGTGTCCTGTCTTTGCTTCCTCCTGGCTTCTCATGCCCCTCCTCACTGTCAGAGCATGAGACTGACCAAGTCCTTGAGAAAACTTTGCTTAGCAACAACTAAAACATTGGTGTGTTATCAGCATTGTTCTCAGACTAAAGTAGAAAAGACAGCACTGCACAGCGACTAAGAAGGAGAAAAATGACTGCAACAGATGAACACAGGACACCTTCCCTTCTCCAGGCTGAACAGCCCAAACTTTCACAGCCTGTCTTCATATGGGAGGTTCTCAAGCCCCCTGATCATCCTCATGGCCCTCCTCTGGACTTGTTCCAACAGCTCCATGTCCTTCTTATGTTGAGGACACCAGAACTGCACACAGTAATCCAAGTTTGGTTTCACAATAGCAGAGTAGAGGGGCAGGATCACCTCCTTCAACCTGCTGGTCACACTTCTTTTGATGTATCGCAGTGTGTGGTTGACTTTAATTTGTGATCCATGATGGCATTTCAGGTGAGTACCTTTTTAGCAACTTTATGAGACACTATATCAAAGGCCTTTGAAAGTCCAAATAAATCCTTTATATTAACCTCCAGGGCTCGAGAATTTAAATCTCCTTGGCATTTTAAAAAGTGAAGGCACTTCTTTATGAACCAAATTTTCATAAGTTTCAGTTAACTCTTCAAATAATATTTTAAAAACACCAAAAAAAGTTGTTTTTTCAACTCCATTTCCATACATTAAACTCCCACATGTAACTGGGTAATATCAGCATGAACTGATACTGATAGAGTACTACACTTGCATATTTTTCATTATTAATATTTCTAGCATACTGTTGTCTCCTCACACATCACCACTGCCAATGTTCTTTGCTTCCTCACCTAAGATATCAGAGGATGACATTCCTAATTTTTACAGAAAATGTTATTATTTCTGTACAGAACAGCAATTATCAACTCTGCCAGGCACCACAGATCAAGGAAGAATCAGTAGTTAAGTCACAGCAGATTTTTTGCATCATCAATAGCTCTCTGCATCACTACTTCTAGTTGATTTTCAGCAATACTGCAGATTTTACAGTAAAATTCTTCTTTCTCCTATCCTAGATTGATGTACCCTTGTTAAATATTAAAATGAACAAAATACTATCTTCTGTTAAAAGTTCTATATGTCAACCTTATTTCTTTGGTTGGAAATACTAACAGAGACTGGTGAAATTTGCTGTCCCTGTATCTCAGCCTCTCTCCCACATTTCCAGAAAGACACCCCATGGTTTTCTGTTTCAAATAGCTCAGTTTTGTTTTCTCTCCTAATTTATGCTCCTGTCTCTGAGACAGATGATCAAATGAGTCACAAAAACAAATTCAATAAATGAAATAAACAAGCAAATGGAAAAGAAAAAACACCCATAAATAAGAAATCCCTGATCAACACCATGATCATTTAAACTTTGACAGCCCCTCTGAGATGTATTTGTAGCCAGAAGGAGAGATGGAACTAAATTAAAAATTAACTAGTCTCTCTTGCTGGTGAAAAACAGTGAAATTTAATTGCAGGGTGTGTTAGAAGTGAAAATCAAGTTAGACTGACAAAGTAACCACCATCTTTCTGTGATAAGACAGTCATTGTAGCAACAAATGATCTTGCAAAAACTATCCAAATTCTGCACTCAAATTTTTAATCCCTCCTTTCAATCGATATGGGACTGCAAGTACTTTCATGTCAGGAACTAACTAAATAAAGCATTTAAAATTTTTGAAGAAACAAAATAATCTCCCAGGCTTAATTAGCTTACTTACGCTTGGAGTATTAGAAGAAAACAAATTTAGTCTTAAAGGGTATTGATAATCTCGTGAACTTGTCTGCAGTGGAGTTGTCAGGAATTTTAATTTCTCCTTTTGATACAATACAGCTCTCAAGCATTGCAATGACATTGTTTCTGACCACTACCATTCCTTGCCATTTTGCATCTACCTGGCTGCTTTCCCTGAATGACTCTGCCAGAACAGAAACCTCTCTGCTCCCCATATTATCTGACACTGCTAAAAATTCAACTCAGTACTCCTTGTCACTCTTACTGCTGCAGCTACTCCAGGCTGCATCACAGGGTCTTTACTTCTACCAGACATGAACTGAGTAGCACAGTGGTAGGAGACTTGTGAGCTCATCTTTCTCATCCACTCTTCTGGGAGACGTCTGTATGCAATGTGCAATATCTCTCCAGCCAAGGGAAAATGTCTTTCAAAGTAAATTTTCTAACCCTTTTTCCCAGCTGACGTAGCAGAGTCCCCATCCCTAGAGACATGAAAGATCAGGTTGAACGGGGCTCTGAGCAACCTGATCTAGCTGAAGATGTCCCTCCTCACTGAAGGGGGGTTGGACTAGATGGCCTTTTAAAGTCCCTTCCGACCCAAACTATTCTATGATTCTAATTACAGCACACTGGAATTTATCCTTTAAACCTTCCACTGAGACCCAGTATTTTGTAAATCAAATCAGAATTTCCACTAGATGCTTGACTTTTGTGTCTTGCTATGCTTCTCACTTGCTTTCTTGTTCTAGCAGCAGATCATGCACCCAGATGCTCAAGAAATCTCTGAGCTTCCCCCCCTAGAAGCTACTTCAACACTGAATACCCTAATCAAGATAAACACATATATCCTTTTTTAATCCAAATCACTGCTCAAAATCCATCTTTGCTATTTTGCCTATAAAAAGAAGAGTCAGATAATTAATGATGGCTTGAGGCACAAATAAGGACATCTACCAATTTATGGCAACAGTTAAAACAGTGCAAATGTGTATCAACTCAAAACAGATTTATTTTATTTTCTCCTTTGTCTCTCTTTTCAGGTCACATCTTTCCTTAAATTGTCCATATTTATACAACACTTAGCACAGTGGGGGTCCCAATCTTGACTTGGCCCCTGGGCAACAAACATTACAAGCATTAAATAATAATGATGCACATCCCTAATGATGATGCGGATAATACGGTCTTTAGAAGAACAGGAAATTAATTACATAACATGACAAATGTGATCAGCTGAAGCTGTGCTCCCATTGCTTCTATGCATCGTAATATTAACTATGTTTTTAAAAGCTATGCTCTTTAAATCAAAGGATTAAAATCCTAAATACCTGACCATATTTATGTAGACACATGGATATGTGAGAACAGGTCACTCGCGTTATCACTCCTTGCTTTCTAATGTTTGTCTTCCTTTTAAACAATTGTTGTAACTATTGTAAAAAAGCTGTGTTAATCCAGAGAGAGGCATGAGCTACATGGCTGGGAAGAGGACAGTAGTCCAAGAGATAGTTTCCTTATTAAAACAGAATTGCTGCTACAAAGAGATTCAAAAGCTCTTGCAGTTTCAGAAACCTTTTGGAGGACTGAAACTCAGGACGACTCTTGCTGCTAGTACCACACTGGCCTCCATGGTCATTTTCTGTGCTTACATCCCCACTGAGCTGGTCATGCCCTAGTGCTGGGGGGACATGCCCTCAGCAGTTCAGATCAGCTCTGCCAGGGCCAGCATCCTCCTCTGA